GTCAAAAAATTTGAAAACACTCATAAGAAGTTGTGTAGTGGAATCAGCGTACGCAAAGACCCTCGTACAAAATTTTCCAGCTTTTTTGAAAAAAAATTTTGTCAGATGGCATATTTTATAGTGGTTCCACTTGCTGAAAGTTCTTACCGTAATCTACAGTAACGAAGAGCGATCAGTGATTCGCTTAATGTCGTAACTCTAAGTTGAAGCCTCCTCTACAGAATGGTAGTTGACTGGCAAAAAAAGATCCATTGGGAGGAGAGATATTGACGATTGAAAAGTGTGTACTTACATTTGAGACACCCTGTAGAAAAAAAATACCACAAGATATGCAAGGAAAGCATATTGACTTTGTGTGCCGGAAAACATCTTTGCTTTTCACTGCGGATCAATTTTACTGAAAACCATCATTATCAAAAAAAAGCTCCGGAAAGCCCAAGTCCTAGTTTTTGATTTGATTATTAGTTAACTGAAGATTTTTGAAATTTCAATGATAATTGGTCCGCGTTGATCTCAATTGCTAATAAGGATACTGTCAATAAAAAAGGGAAAGCCCTATAGTGTTATGTCCTGGGAATCTCATAGCTTTGATTTTAGCAGGTGGGATTGTCCCCTGCACACATGTAAGTGCAATAAAAAATAGCGAGGTTGAGACCCTTCGTTACCGAGAAACAAAAAGGATTTGTTGGAGAAATTATGTTTTGTATGTTTCATTGCGGATTTATTGTTGAGCGAAGCTTTAAAATGTAAGTTTTGTGGACGTGGCCTATGACTACCGACGCTGCCATTTGTGATGCTTGTGAATTGCCGTGGTGGGAGGAGCCCAGTACTACTGGGGGCGGAGTTCGCCTTTTTCCATTTTTCAATTTTTTCTTGGTTCCTAAGCATGGAAAAAATATAGCGAGTGTACCTATGGATAAATGCATGTGTTCTTTACAAGCAGGAGCAAGTGAGAGGTCCGCAGGATTTTCTAGGGCGAAAATCCAATTTTTGGCATTACGAGTTGCTCGTATGTTTTGGCTCTGAACTTTTCGTAAACAACAAGTTCTGCCAATGTTCGGATATCATCTTGTAGAGTTTCCTTTGCTCTATCGATTGGTATCTCTCACAACGTTTTTTGGATTTCCTATGGCTTTGACTTTGATATGAAAAACGACATTATTTCCTTGACAACCTAATATTATACTCGCCGCTCTTGATGTTTTTATTTACAGTGTTTAATACTTTGGTCATAGTCTAGCACCTGAAGTACACTTTTTCGTATCTATATGTTCCAAAATTGTCACCGCATAATCTTCGCTCAGACAAAGTATCAAAATCATGCTAATCCAAAATTATCTCGCCTAATAATGCAAACGATCTTTAAAAAAAGTTACAGCGGACAGTTCCTTAATGAGAGCTGTCAACTACTAACGCATTATCATTAATCCAAGTAAGACTATTTGTCAAATGAATGTTTTACTCTTTTTTTTCGTTATCGCAACTATGTTTGACATATGTTGCGATAACGAAAACTGTTTGTGCTGATTTCTCAACACTGTCAAAAATCAAAGAAAACACCAATTTAATCCTCTTTCTTAGCGATTACATGCTATTTAAGGGACTGTAAGCATTTGACAATGACTACTAAAATAGTTTTTTTTAGCATTCTGACTCGTGATATACGTGATATACTTGCGTTTTGGCAAAATATAACATTCCAACATAATGATTATAGATTATAACCAAAGCCATATAGCAGTTAGGTTATTAGTGCCATCCGCGTTAGTAATTCTGGTGGCTGATATGAGAAACTAATATCAATAATATCAAATTAATCAAACCATAAATCATTAGAAAAGCATATCTTTTACACTGGAAATGAACAATTTCGCTCACAGTCCAAAGTGCACTTTGGGATATATAGTATAGGAAATCTGGAGATATTGGGGAATATTGGTATCAGGAGATATTCGTCGCTTTCTTCGAAGGCTCACCAAGACATTACAGTCCCCGCTATAGGTAGGTGAAAGTCCATAGAATCCTTCCCAAACTTAAAAAAGGTAAATAGTCAAATTGCGTTTGAAACAACTTTTACTAGTTCGCTCTTGCATTGAGAAATCATTTTGATTGCAATCAGTCTTCAAAAAATTTTCGTCAATTATAGAATTTAAACTAAGGTTTTTAGAAAAAATACTTTGCTTTTTATGTACAACCTAAGTCCAAAACGCCTAATAAGGGAAGGTCACAGTGTTGAACTCGCCAGCAACTACAAACTGCATACCATCAGTGAGAGCTTGTTTTTTATTTGCAGAGCCCTTTGGGAAGGAAATTATGACCATCCTTTCGGGCAAAAAATGAATCACTTGCCGGGTGCGTAAGTCGTACGTTCCCATTACAGCGAGGGTATCTTCGGCAAAGCGGAAAATTCCGAGCATATATAGCGACTCTGAAGGTACTTAAAAAACGGTTTCGAGAGTTCTGAAAAAGTGAGTCGAGGAAGCACAGGTAGCACAGCGACAACGACTCTCTGAACGGAACGCCGTCCATCTAGCAATTGCAAGCAAACTGCAAGTAAGGGCGTGCATGCCGCGCATCATGACGCATCATGAAAGGTCAAGCGTGGCAGCTCAGGCAACGGATAGGACCCCTCCGCCGGAGAAATGGCAGGGTCGCGGCGTTTCCCCAGCGGTGGGTCTCCCATTTGTCCGCCGGAGCCCTCCCATTTCTGCTCCGGATACCTCCCATTTTCTGCTCCGGATACCTCCCATTTTCTGCTCCGGAGGCCTCCCATTTTCTGCTCCGGAGACCTCCCATTTTCTGCTCCGGATACCTCCCATTTCTGCTCCGGATACCTCCCATTTTCTGCTCCGGATACCTCCCATTTTCTGCGGCGCGACTCTTCCAAATCTGGCGGACTCGCGCCGGGCAAATTTCTCCGGCGCGGCTCTGCCAAATCTGGCAGAGCCGCGCCGGAGAAATGGCGTACCTTTGCAGCAGGGCCGGAGAAGCCTCCCACTTGCCTGCCAGTGATGTCACCGCGACGGACCGCCCATTTGCCCCTCTCTCATTGGTCAACTGGGTCCGGCGCGACTCTGGCAGATTCGGACTGTCCGGCGGAGGGGTCCGGTCGATTGTCTGAGAGGCGCGTCCGCGCTGGAGGATCTGTTGGGGAGTGAATTAAAGGAGGCTCGTAATCAGGAACCGAGTTAAAATAAAAAGGACAATTACTACGACTGGGCAAGAAAGAACAAGCACTAGATTAATGTGTCATTCCCGCAGCAACACAAGTTCACTGATCATTGCAAAGACTGAATACACTTGAGCAGCAGCAGACCTAACAAATAATTTTAGCAATTTCCAAAACCTTTAATCCTTCTTACGTGAAGTGGGTGATTGTCAAAATGTATGATAGAATGTCATTCATGAGGCAATAAGATTGATCCCTGCTACCAATTCCAGTATTCGTTAGCATCTGAGAACGGTTATTTTCAAACATGATTGGGTTAGTTTCAAAGACGCAAGTGATAACCTTTGTTAATCCCTGTTAAAAAATACATCTCACACTGTAGTAAACAGTGAACTTGAAAATGATCTCAAAACTCCAACTACGTTTTTCACATTCAGTGCTTCCCCAAGACCAACAAATCAATGTAAGCTTATGTATAGCCTAATGTAAAATCTAAGAAGCTTGCTAATAAACGACAAAAATTTTTGGTGAAAAGCGTCTTTGGGATAAAGTTGATGAAGTCAGGCACTACCCTTCAAAAGGTCAAGCTGCCTGAGCTTCCATGGCATTGTGCCTTGTTCGACTTACCTTCGGTGTTCGCAAGCTCCATTTGGAAATAGAAAATGATAGAGTAAGAATAAAAAAAATTTTCTTGCCACAGTAGTTATTTGGTTCCAGACTCTTCTTTTCAGGAGAAGCTGTCGCTTTTGGAACAGAAACTCATTAATAAGAGAAGATTCACCGTCAATTATGCTGTTGTACCTTGTAGCCCTGTGCAATCGCAGAAGACTTTAAAATCAAAAATTCTTACTACAGGCTCTTATTTGTCCTCACAATTTCAGCACAGTCTTTGAAAAATCAAAACCCCTCGCTACAGGGTCCTTCCTCCCTAGGGTGCGATGAGATTGTGGACGTGAAGATGAGAAGGTAGACGACGCCAATTGAGTCGAATGAGGGGTGGGGTCAAAGGACATGTGCTTGACCTCATGCCCTACCTTATGGTCATGGGGGTCCTACAATGGCTCTGCGTCTCCATCCTTGCTTGAAGTGTGAAGCTCTGCCCCACCTCTGCTCCACAAGCTTAAATCAATGATCAAGGCTTCGGAAAATGTCCATTTCCGACATTTTCGCGTTTATCGACGTTGATTGCACCTTGCAACTGGGAAAGTCCAATTGTCTTCAATACTAAGAGGGCTTGAAGCCAGCGTCCGAGCCAAACCTCATCTGTTTGTTTTCGCTCTTCTCGACTTATTCTGTCTCCTGCTTCCAAAAATATCATAGAAAGGTATGTGGCAAGAGGTGGATCTCATCGAGGTAAACCAATCTTTTCTAATTGCTAACGCTGTTTTTCGGGAACCATTTAGAGTATTTCATATGGATCACATTTGCGTCTCAACTGTAACGCACAAAGCAATACATTCGAAACATTGTACGCTGTCGTGTGCTCGTCGTATCGACTGACTAGAAGACAGACATAGATGTCTTTCAGCAATTTTCAGCAAACGATTTGGAATATCATATGCTTCCTGCGTATAGGTAATGTGCGATAAAACTGCCGTGTTTACATGTGTAAGTAGAGATTCAACATTGTAAGAGAGAGATAATCTTGTTATCACACGACGTGTAGGTTCTAAAAAAAGAAGAAAGTATAAATATTGATATGGGGGATTAACTCTTGCCTTTCAGCCAAGATGTGCAACACGGTGAGCGAGCATCCTACATACTTTCTTTCGAGTGAATGAAAGTCTATGTAGAAATTAATTTTTGAGTTTACCAATTTGTAAGTCTTTTAGATGACTATTATTTTTATGCTGCTCACAGTTTCTTGGACTACAGCGTCTAAAAGCATGTCTGTAGGTGAATATCGTTTGAATATTAGCGAATATTTATAAAATACTGAGGCAAACACGCGGAAAGATTTCGTGTTGAAACTGTGCTCTGTATCTGCCTCATTTCCTACCTTTTTAATTCAAGAATTTGTGTGATAAAAGATTTTTCTTTTAAATTTTCAATATTGAATCTCAAGAAGTTCATGTGAAGAAAAGTAACCGAATATTGTCACCAAATTTCAGAAGAATTCAAGACTCTCCTAATTCCAAACTATGTTAACCATATGTCAGAAGAGGAATTTGTTGACTACATCAACAAAAATCAGCCGTTCTATAAGGTGGTCTTTTATTTTATTACACAATTGTTTGCGAGACGACTTGACTGATTTTGAAAACAGAAGACTAATTAGTTAGCCATGCTGTAAATTATACGCTCCTGCATGAGATCTGCTGCTCTATGTAGGCAGAAGTCCCAAAAATGTCTCGCGAACAGTTCAAATCGCGTCTGATGGACCTCAAATACTTGAAGAAGGTTGATGGTCTTCCACTCAAAAAGGTTAAGAAGCAGTTGGCTAATGATCTTCCAGAAAGGTAGTCATTTTTTTAGTTAGCAGTACACGTAACTCCTCAGTCCGTTTAGTTTCGATGCACGAGAAATATGGCCAAAATGCAAATCCATAAAGCTCATCCGAGATCAGGCCAACTGCGGTAAGAACATCTTTTCATTTTGAACCTGTATATGCGTGGCATTGGGTAACCAACTGAGGTGCGAAGACTTTGCTCCTGTAAACTTACGGTGGGAAAGATGCCGTCCTTTCACTCGCTCTAGCGGCAGGTACCCAACGGTATCCTCTTAAAGGCAGTGTCCGGGCAAAAAGTCGATTTTGAGATTTTGTGCGTACCTGGGCCTATTCACTATGCTGAATCCGAAAATCCACATTGAAAGCGCGAAGACGGCAAAAAAGGGCTCTAACGCAGGAGGGAAATCGGAAGTGGGCGGGGTCCTCCCCACTGTGAATTTCGCAGTCCCAGCTTCTGGAGCGATCTTTCCAGTTCCTCTAGCGCCCTGAGATCTCCACCGGCAGGTGCGAATGCATGACTTGAAATCGGAACCGAGAAGATCGCTCTGGAAGCTGGGAGCGTGAACTCATAGTGGGGAGGACCCCGCCCACCTGTTCATTTCCCTCCCATTTCTTTTAGTTCTTAGTGTTGTTGCATGCAACGGATTGTTTAATAAGCAGAGCAGTCAAAAACTAAGACATTGTACTTGATATAGGAAAGCACGCTGTTATGCTTTTACGTAGTAGTCTTCTATTTCGACCTACGTCACTCTTATATCTCCCATTAGAGTTTTCTCCAGTAAGTAATCTGTTACTCTTTCCTGTTTCCAGCATTTGGACATTTGCTAAATACAAAGACTAAAACAACCACGATCAGCCGGCCTCTGATTGGGCCTTGTAGCTGGCCCCCACCAATAATTAGTCTCAGCTGTACAGCAAACAAACACATCAACGAGATATATAATACAATTATGGCAAGCACGGAACGAAAACAAACATCAATAAGAACAGGATTGAGATCAGTTGGAAGTGGGGATCCTTAATGAAGCACGAGAAATGGGTCTGGCGTCCATTCACCGTACTGCCGTAGTTTCCGACTCTGATCTTTATGCCCTGCCGCCTTATCGCATCATCATCTGTAAGCAAGGGGCGAGGAGAGAGCCTGGGATAATAAACGCAAGCTTACGTAGAAGCTAGAAATTTGAAAAAATCTGAGAGATTTTGTTACTCACTCTGCGCTTTTACAGAAGAATTAATTCTGAGGATAGATAGAAAACTATTAGGTTGGCACATAAGTTTTGCAACTTTTCCCGTAACTTTTTTCCTTGTTTATGTAGCAATCTCATTTTGTGACATCATGTAGATCGTGATGTAAGCTGCAAGTCTGCGCAAACCGTTTGATTTTTGATAACGTAGTACAAAAAATCTAAGCATTTTTTGAAAACTGCTGAAAATCGAGGTTTCACGATTTTTTGGCAAACATGAAGCCCTACGAAACCTGATTCAAACATATGAAAAAGCAATTATAGGCAGCATGTAGCTGGAAGTTGGCACACTGGAATCAGTGAAAAAGAAATGAAATTTAAAAGAAGTTGAACAAGTCAAATGCGTCAAGTTTTGAAGGCAATTTGTCAATAACTAAGCTGCGAAAAGTCAGAATTCGCTATAGCTTTGCACTATAGGGTAATCCTATGCGATAAACGCGAATATCATATTCATTTGTCGCTAAAATGAGATTCATTTTTTGATCTCACGAACGAGGCCTTTTCATGCGAAACGGACCTCATTTTTGTGATCAGCATGTCAAATAAGCCCTATAGGCCAAGTTTCAGCAAAATCTGATGCATTCTAAAATTTTTCCCGTAGTACCGTAAACCTACCGTAATCCTCAAATAAGATGGTAAAATTCGGCAAAAATGTGTGCATTAGAAGCTTAATCATATTCTTTATAGTGCCAGTAAATGAATGCGCTACGTTCGAACAGACAAAAGTTATATGAAAAGTTGCATTGCTTATGTGCCAACCTAATAGATGCCTTTCTCGGTCCCGCAAGACCTACTGCTTTGAATGTTCCGCTAGAGACCGACCGGAATGCAAATTTTGAAAACAAAAGCAAACTTCTATTCAAGTTTTATCGTACTTCCTTCCACCGCGACCCACCCTTGCAACCTCCATGCGACAACAAAGGCAAATGTTATCTTCCATCTCCCCACGAACCTCCTCTTCATCACTATTAGCTATTTCTTCCAAATGCTTTGTTTCTCTTTAATCTCACGCCGCCGGCCTCTCTCTCTCTGATCAACTTCTTACTGGTTGCGAAGCCCTGCGAAAGCATGAACTTACCTGCTATATAATTCTTCTCGCATCCTTTCTATCCAAATCAAAATAAGCTTTAGTGCTGCTGTTCACTCAAAACGTGAAAATGACACGTCAGCGCTTGATAAGAGTTCAATTCCACTGCAAGATGTCAAATATTGATAAACGATAGAAGGATACAGCGAACCTGCACAAAAAGTAGCTTATGTTCCTCTCCGTAGTCGTAATCATACAATGTGCGCAAAGTTTCAGCCCGTTGGTTCACCCAGATAGGAGTCTCAATAAAAGTACAGATTTGAAGTTTGTTACACACAAGCAGACTTTCTGCTCGATATATATACAGGGTGTTCGAAAAGTAAGTATACACTTTTGAATAGTTAATATTCCTTTTCTCATTGTGTCTTTTTCCGCCAATCAATTACCATTTCGTAGACGAGGCTTCAACTTAGATTTGCAGTATCGAGCGAATTACCAATCTCTCTGCATTATTGTAGGATTACTGTAGGAACTTCGACTTATTGTAGGATTACTGTAGGAACTTCGACAAGGATTTTAGGCTATTGGAACCCATATTCTGCCTCGGAACAAAACCAAACAAGCCAAAAGCTCTTCTACTAAATAATGAAAGCCGCTGATTTCGAATATGGAATTTCCACTTTACTGTGATGCTTCTTTTCAAAGTTATTCTAGGTAAACCGTAATAGCAGACTTCTCAGCATTTGTCAAAAATGTGATTACACCGTCAAAAAAGCTGAAAACACTCTTAAAAAGTTATGTAGTGGAATCAGCACGCGCGAAAACCTTAGTACACGATTTTTCAGATTTTTTGAAAAAAAAATTGTCAGATGGCATATTTCGCAATGGTTCCACATGCTGGAAGTTCTTACCGTAATCCTACAGAAACGAAGAGCGATCGGTGATTCGATCGATACTGTAAATCTAAGTTGAAGCCTCCTCTACAGAACGGTACTTGACTGGCCAAAAGAAACCCATTGGGAAAAGAGATATTGACGATTGGAAAGTGTGTACTTACTTTTGGGACACCCTGTATTTTTGTATGAAATCCCTCACTACGGCCTTATCGTGGCGATGGGTGGGTGCCTGAGCGTCGAATCGCTATGTACATTCGAGTGTGTAGATCTCTCAAGCTGTGAAGGAGTTTGATAATATCCGTTTCTGGCCAAATGCTGCTAAGAGCTGGCCGGGTTAGAACCCCCGCCGTCTGGCCTTTTCGATCAGTAGGAGGTCACCGTTTCACGCCCGAGGTTGGCGACCGTCCCGTAGAATTCGTGAGCAGGCCAGTAGGTCTGCAATTTGTAAGGTTTTGGCCTAGTTCTCGTAGTTATCGTAGCGGAAAGAATTCATCGAAAACTATTTTTTTGTCTGTTATAATTCTAAATTATCTTAATGGGCCAACCTTAACAATTCTTCCCAACAACTCTTTATTAGCCAACAAAAAGGAGGTCCTCGTGCCTAAATTAACATCCACCTTTAACAAGAGAAATTCTATATGGAATGCATGACCTAACTTCAATGGAAGAAATCTAAATAAAATGTATAACCACAATGGGGTAAGAAGAGAACATGAGAGAACAAGAATTCATGAACGGACACTTATAAAAGAGAGAAAAGGCTAGAACATAGTCATGACAAATCAATCTTTACAATAAACCTTGGGTGTATATATACTAAATCTCCCAGTGGAAGTACCAACAATTATCGCTATTTGTACTAGTAAATTGCTACACATAACTCTAAAAAGTTACACAATCTCCCAGTTCAATCGCCTTATCGTTGCAAAGTTTCTAGTTCAGACGTTCTTCCCAGAGTACGCTTTGAAAGGTCATCACGATCATACCATAGCCGGTTCTGTAATTGCAGCTCCGCATCGTACTATCGTAATTGTCGTTGTTCGTGTAATTCTTGTTTCTGGAACATACTCTACAAATTGTAGGAAGAAATTTCTTTACTCTACCAGCTAGAAGGAAGGAACCCTGCACTTCGCTTTCCGCCTATGGCAGGCTCCACGGTGTCGCTTTTGAATCGGACAAAAACGACACGTCTGCCCTTACGACAAACCATAATAAAGTTTCAAGCTCTGCACCTTCAACGCCAGCATAATCTCCACAAACGGGAACCTCCACGTCTTTCTCGACGCTGCAGCCTAGCCATCCCACGCCTACGACCTCCACGTCAAAAGACCATCAGCATATCAACTGCTACCCCCCCCCCCCCCAACATCGCGGCTAAATGCTTTATAAGGCCGCAACGAGAAGTTTTTCTACAAGTTTGCTTTGGACTATTTTGACGCGAAAGTTATGATGCCGCTTAAAGAGGAATATAGGATCGGAGAGTTTTGTATGGAATCCAAAGGAGTCCATACAAAACTCTCCAAGGTACGACTCAGGCGGAGACAAGAACGACAAGGGCTTCTCACGTCGCGCGACTTTTCCATGCAATCTTTATCGTTATGGACAAAGCACATCACCTGTGGGCAGGGGAATCGCCCAACGGTAGATTATTCAGGCGGAGATCGACCGCATTTTTATAAATCGAAGGTGAAGCTTACTCGATGTCTTAGTAGTTCCATCCTTCTGCAGTGGCTACGATCATCGCCTCCTTCAAGTGAAAATACGACTCAGTCGAAAGCTGGAAATGAAAGTCTGTCACTTGCTGCAAGAAAGAAGGAAGTCGTTTATGATGGTAACAGGGTGGAAGACTCATATCAAATTGTGGCTGACTCATCGAGAAGGCTTCAACGTACGACTGCGACTTGCTTCTAAAAGGACTGCGAACCGCGGAGAGTGCGCCTCACTAACTTTCGAAAAGAGCTTGGAACGCTCTTCTTGTTGACCAAGGAATTATTCGAAAGAAAAAGGTATTTAAGGCAAGATTCGAATGTAATCTACCGTGACTAATGATAGCCAGTTGCAGAACAGCTTCGCAGGGGATTTCAAGAAGCATAGATTGTAGAGTAAGTCTAGAGTATTCAATCTATTTTACCTTTAGAAGGAAAGAATTTCCAAACTAAAGAGAACTCCAAAAGCCATCGTTTCCTTTCAAAAGGGCAAAAGGGGAAATCTTCGGGACTACCGTTCAATATGCCTATTGAGTGTGTTGCGCAAGCTCTTTACGAAGATTATCCTCGCTCATATTTAGGACTCTGGATGAAGCCCAATCCAAAGAACAAGCTGGATTTCGCAAAAGATTTAGCTGCATGGACCATATACGGGCGATTGCGAGGGTCATAGAAGTCTGCCGGGAGTACCGACCATCTCTCGTCCTAACATTTGTCAACTAGAAAGCCTTCAACAGCGTCGAAACCTCTCAGCGCTAGTCGATCAAGGAGTGAACCCAGCTTACATGAGAACATTAGCCGACTGCTACAAGGATTGTAGAACAACGATGCAGCCATTTCATCGCCCCCTGACCATTCCAATTGGAAAGGGGGTTCGGCAAGGCGACACCATTTCGCCGAAGCTGTTCACCGCGGCCTTGCAGTGGGTAATGAAGTCACTGGACTGGAAGAGGGAGGCATACGAGTTGATGGGAGATTCCTATCCAACCTTCGTTTTGAGGACGACATCGTTCTCTTTCCTAGCAGTATCACTGAAACAAAAAAGATGATGAAGGAATTAAACGAAGTAGCGAAGAAGACGGGTTTGCGCATAAATTGGAATAAAACTCAGTTCATAAAGGACGCCCTTTGTGAAGATGCGGGAATGCAATTGGAAGGCACCCCTATCATGGAGACATCTTCGTACGTGCATTCCTGGACGTTCGATGAACATGGAGAATGACTTGGGAGGAGAATCTAATAGAAGAAAAGCAGCCTAAGCCGCTATCAGGCCTCTGAAGTAATCCACTGCCACATTGATGGCTCTTCGAACACCTACGGAGAGCTTGACCGCAGCTGGAGATGATCCGACAACAGGGCCGGTAGTAATCTACCCTACCTGGTGGCATCAAAGATGCCGGCAAGTTGGCACACATCGCGGAAAGATGCCAACTCCGCCGGCAGCTCGCGGATTGATCGTATGTTCTAATAATCTCAAACAATCTTGCTCTACAATCTTTATGCACACGAAATTTTGATGACACAGCTATCCGCAAGCAGTGTGATCGCGCGCGTTCGAACCTGCATGCGTTTACTTCAACCGCTGCTGCTCTAACCAATCGCCCAATCGGTCAATAACTTTTATTTGCCCCAGCGCTAACAGAAACGCACAGGTTTGTGGGCCTGTAAAAGGACATGATCAATACATTGCGTGAGAGACCTTGGCCTGAAAGAAAAGCTGCTTAATAAGGGCAACGGATGCGCGAAAACGTTTCAAACAAGATATTAGAGGAATACAGAAACAACATGATGCTTATCTGTGTTTAAATAGTAACTGACTCCTCCTTCTTTCAAATGGTTAGTTCAATTAAGGAAAAGCTAAATAATGAAAAATGATGATTTTTCAAGAAAATAGCACTTTTGGTGTTGTTGGCTGAGACGTAACTTTTGTGATATCGCCGCAATTCGCAAACTCGCAGACGCCGTCGGCAAAGGTGCCACCACCTCGACGTGGTAGGGGCACGTCGAGATGCCGGCTCCCTCTCTCAAAAGAGCATGCTATTTCCCGTGCTCTCTGACCTGCCGGCAGCTGCCATCTCGCAGATTTCGACGAGCTGCCGGCAGCTTGCCGGCAACTGACATCGCGAAGTTGCCGGCAGCTCCTTCTGCGCTTCCAGATATTTTCCTACAGGAGAGAACCGCAGATTTCTATGGAGTTTTCTACAAAGTCTAAGCGGCATCTTTATCGAGAAAATTTCTTGGAAATAGACCTGGGACCGCCTAAATTTGGGGTTTCACTTTCTGGCCACCTCACGGAAAAGGTGCCAGCGACCTGCCGACGAGACCTGCAGCCAGATCGGGGGGATTAATACCGGCCCAGAAACATCTTGTCGAACTTTGCAGAACGGATACAAGAAGAGTATTCCGTCATCGTGACCTAGTGGAGTATGTTGCGAAAGCGAAACATCGATGGACCGGTCACATTATGAGAAGAACAGATGACAGATGGACACTAACAACTGTAAGATGGACACTTGTAAGAACATTTGAGTGGATCGCGGATGTAGGAAGCAAGAGATAATAACAAATGGAAATTCCAGTGTTGGGGGCAGCACGTCAGGTAGAGACGTGCGGTCTAAGTAAGTATCTAAGGAAGTTATATTCGAAATAACCTTTATAAGCAGCTTCTGAAGGTTATCCACGGCATCGGTGTTCATAGATAAAATGATTCAAATTTTCCAATATCAAAATAGAGGAAGTTTTTCTTTTGGGCCACATAGTTTCCTCGTTATTCGGTTTTTTCTACAGAGACTGCAACTTCACAGCAGATGTGTCTGTCTGGATCTATTGCGCCTCTCATAAATCTACCTTGTGGTATGTGGAATGCTAGCTGCTCGGGATGTTCAACAAGTACCATCTGAATGAATATTTAAAGTTAGATCTGCGGTCAATCTAGTATGAGCAAGAAGCTTCATGAAAAAATGTTATGTAGTTGTAAGATTATCGTTAAAGTGATTGAATGAGTTAATAAGATAAAAGATGAGCTTGTAGTAGCAGGAGTGTGTCGCTAAGTACGCGTGCTGAGCTGCAGGACAGTTATGAAGACTTCAAATCTCGACTGTACATCGGACATTTGCTTATGAAGCGGTCAGTGGTCATCTTTTTATAGGGTCTTGCTGAGCTGTATCTGCTGCCTCATGTCTGACAGAATATGCATACAAACGTATAACAATGAAACAATCATGCAGGTGCGAGTAAGTGAGTTAGGAAATATTTAATGTGTGCACTTTTTTAAGACACTGGTATCTGACACCGACATTCTTGCTTGCTGTGGTGAACGTTGCGGTCATGGGTTAGTTACACGAAATCTTGCATTTGAAACATTAGCGACAGCGCTTATGTCACGTATTAAATTCGAATTTCCTGCATCAAAAACATGTGAACATTGACATAAAGCACGTTGCTTTTAACGAGTTGAACTGCTCGATTGCTACGGTTAGCTGCTTGTTTATTTTACATGAAAGGCGTTGTTGATTATTAAACATTGCTGAAGGCTGTTTACTAGTGTACTTGCGCCAAAGACATGACTTGCATACATACAGAGCAACTTAGCCTCACAGGCTGCATTATCTACTGAAATGTAAAAAAACCTTCATTATCTCAATTCCTTTAATAGTAGTAATTAAGAGTCATTTGGGGGGTTGGAGGGGAGGGAGCGGCTGTTTCCGGAAATGGATTGTGAATTCTTCGGGAGTGGCTCACATAAGTCATGTAAATGTGATTCCGCAAAAATTTTGAACATCACGAAAAGTTTTTCTACGAGTGGCTGAGGTTACTCTTGAAATAAGTTCTTCCACCCCCCCCCCCCCAGAAAATAATGGGTACCGCCACCCCCAAGCATCTATATACTTTTGTTATAACTCAAATACAAATTCATAACGATAGCGTCAGTTATGTTGTTTATATTTGATTCACGTTGCAAATCTAAAGCTGCGCTGCAGTTGTTCCTATCTCCGCGTCAAATCTGACTTACAGTAAACGTGTTAAGTAAATTTTAATCATGTCAGTTTTCTCAAGGCATTTACATCTCTTCAAAATCGTTCATGGTGCAACAACAAAAGTTCTCACAACAGTGAAAATCAAAGTTCTCAGACAGTGAAAACGATTTTCTGCAATACAATTACACAAGCATTGGTTTGACAGATAAGGAAAATTACCAGTTTGTAGCAACATTTCGCTTTGCTGCTCCACCCTTCGCAATGGTTTGAGAGTGACAGATTGGAGCCTAATGACGAACAATTTAGAAAATCATTCTTCGTTTTTCATATCTGTAGCCAAATACCAAAGAATTGTAATGCGCGACGCAGTTGCAAATTCTAGGCCAGTTCATCTGTATTGCCTGAACAAAGAGCATAACGTAATTGAACTCAAGGAAATTAGTAATTGCATGGAACGTCGCTTGCTTCCAAAAGCATAAGAATGTATAACCAGCTGGTATACCCCCTCCACCCTACCTCCAAATACATTATTGTGAAAAATTGCTCCTATTTCTGTAAAACATTATCCTGTCCCTGTGCCACTTCAGACATTTAGCTCAACGTGCACGCTTGCAGATGTAATGGAGGATACATGACCGAGGCTTGGGGCTACGTGGTAAACAACGGAACTTGTTCTGGAGGTCCATACTTAGCGAAGGTGAGTATGTGCGCTCGAGTTTATTGTAAACTAGCTGGCTTACCCGGCTCCGCCGTATCCGGACCAAACTTGGCACACATACACTTCGGACCCCGGCGGGTGTCACAGTCCACTTTTCGTTATCGATCGATGTCGATTTTACCGATTTTTATCGATTTTTTTGCAGAGTTCACCTACAGGGCTAGGAGTTGGCACAGGGGGGGAAGTGAGCATGGGGATTCCGAATACAATATTAGTTTTCAGAATTATCGATTACTTTTATTGATTTTATCGATTTTTTTTGTAAATTTTGACATGCGAGGCTGGGATTTTGCACAGGGGGTAATCGAGCATGCTGATTACGAACACAATATTAGTTTTCAGGATCGTCCATTACTTTTATCGGTTTTATCGATTTTTTTGTAAAGTTTGACCTGCGGGGCTGGGAGTTTGCACAGGGGGGTAATCGAGCATGCAGATTACGAATACAATATTAGTTTTCAAGATCATCCATTACTTTTATCGATTTTATCGATTTTTTGCAAAATTTGAGCTAGGGGGCTGAAATTTGGCACAGGGGTGTAATAGCATGCTGATCACCCCCCTTGGGGATGATCAGCATGCTCGATTACCCCCCTGTGCCAACTCCCAGCCCCCTAGCTCAAACTTTGCAAAAAAATCGATAAAATCGATAAAAGTAATCGATAATCTCGAAAACCAATATTGTATTCGGAATCCCCATGCTCGATTACCCCCCTATGCGAACTCCCAGCCCCGTAGCTCAAACTTTGCAAAAAAATCGATAAAATCGATAAAAGTAATCGATAATCCTGAAAACCAATATTGTATTCGGAATCCCCATGCTCGATTACCCCCCTGTGCCAACTCCCAGCCCCGTAGCTCAAACTTTGCAAAAAAATCGATAAAATCGATAAAAGTAATCGATAATCCTGAAAACCAATATTGTATTCGGAATCCCCATGCTCGATTACCCCCCTGTGCCAACTCCCAGCCCCGTAGGTGAACTCAGCAAAAAAATCGATAAAAATCGATAAAATCGATATCGATCGATGACGAAAAGTAGCCTATGACACCCGCCGGGGCCCGTAGTGTATGTGTGCCAAGTTTGGTCCGGATCGGTTCAGAAATGGAATTTTCTATTCGGAACATACGTACATACAGACAGACAGACATACAGACAGACAAACAGACATTCAGCTTTATATATAAGATAGCGTCGTCAGGATTGTTGTAAACCATACGCTTTCCACCCATGCGGCCAGCACAAAGGCCAGCCCTACTACGGCGAATGCGAAAAGCCCAATGAAAATACTCCAACTTGTCGTAAGCGATGTCAATTTCACTATAAGAAAGCATACGAGGAAGACAAAATCAAAGGTGAGCCTTCTTTGGATGTAGGCCCATGGCAAAAAATGCAATTAAGTGTTGCACGCATACTATGTTTATGGTCTTGTCAATGAAATAGCAATGCAAGAGGAGTTAATGGCATTTGGTCCATTTCAAGCCGCTTTTATAGTTTATGACGATTTTCGATATTACAAGAGTGGAGTGTACGTGGTAAGTCTTCTTCATTAGAGTTAGGACAAGAGAAAAGATCTATTTATCAATAACTAGCTGGCTTGCCCGGCTCCGCCGGGCCTGCCAGCTAGACCCGTGTACGTATGTTCCGAATAGAAATTTTTATCTCTGAACCGATTGGGACCGAACTTTGCACACATACACTTCGGGGCAGGGAGCGTGTCACAGCCCACTTTTCGTTATCGATCGATGTCGATTTTACCGATTTTTTGCAAAATTTGAGCTAGGGGGCTAGGATTTTGCACAGGGGGGTAATCGAGCATGCTGATCACCCCTTCGGGGTGATCAGCATGCTCGATTACCCCCCTCTGCCAAATCCCAGCCCTCTAGCTCGAATTTTGCAAAAAATCAATAAAATCGATATCGATCGATAACGAAAAGTAGCCTATGACACGCTCCCTGCCCTGAAGTATATGTGTGCCAAGTTTGGTCCCGATCGGTTCAGAAATAAAAATTTGTATTCGGAACATACGTACATACATACAGACAGACAGACATACAGACAGACAAACAGACATTCAGCTTTATACAGTGCTGGCCAAAACTATAGATCCACTATAAAAAACTGCCGTAGTTCATCTGCTTCTCAACGAATTGATCTGAGATTTGGTACAGTTGTGTGTTCAACAGGCATTCATCAGTGACCGGAGTGGATTCCGCTTTCGGTAGATTATTCAGGAAAAAAATTAAAAATTTCGAAAAAAGCAGGCTCGAAAGTTGGCCAAAACTATAGATCCACCTAAAATTTCTGTCTGCTAACGTGATTCTTAGCTTCCAAAATCTTTTGTGCATAAACCTAGTCGAAAGTCAAAGCAGTGGGTTTAGTTCAGCTGCGTCATACCTTTATAAGAAACGCTTATCTGCTTTTTTCCACTCAAAAACTGCTCTCATGCGTATTTTGTTCCCGAGAATGTGTTTTTGTAGAGGATTCCGCACTTTTTTGACTGGTTTGAAAGTGATAGGGCTCCATCTATCTTATAGATGCTTAGCAGCGTGAGCAGTAGAAAAAAATTCGGTTTTTCGTATCCAAAGCGCACCTGACACGGACATAACCGTAGGCCTGCGCTCGAATTTTTGCCTTCAAAATTGGTATCCGCTATTTTTATAAGCTCAAAATAATGTAGAAGCATTATTTAGCATTATTTACCTAAAAAGAAGTTTGTAAACTATAGTTACGATTGCTTGCGAAGTCGCACTTTAATTCTTTTTCAAAGCACAAGTCTTGCGGTGTGTTCGGCAATCTCAAAGTACTTACCAACTGGTACCTTCTTTGAATTTTGCCACTTTTTAGCTGCTAACTATTGAATACACCCTGCAATATATGTTGCCTTGTGATTCACATGAGCATTATGGTCAGAAGCAGAAATAACTTCAAGGCTTGTTGCAAATCACTTTTTGCAGGATGAAGTTCTCAATTAGCCTGCATACTAGGATCTGCAGAAACCTGCAACCACTGCATACGGACTCTCATACATACCAACAATGTAACTACTCCAGTTCACGCTCATGACAACGTTGCAGAAAGAGCTTGAAGGCATAAATTTGAACGCAGGTTTGCGGTTAGGTCTATGTCAGGTGCGCTTTAGATACGAAAACCCGAATTTTTTTCTGCTGCCCACGCTACTAAGCATCTATAAGATAGATGGAGCCCTATCACTTTCAAACCAGTCAAAAAAGTGCGGAATCCTCTACAAAAACACATTCTCGGGAACAAAATACGCATGAAAGCAGTTTTTAAGAGGAAAAAAGCAGATAAGCGTTTCTTATAAAGGTATGACGCAGCTGAACTAAAGCCACTGCTTTGACTTTCGACTATGTATATGCACAAAAGATTTTGGAAGCTAAGAATCACGTTAGCAGACAGAAATTTTAGGTGGATCTATAGTTTTGGCCAGCCTTCGAGCCTGCTTTTTTCGAAATTTTTGATTTTTTTCCTGAATAATCTGGCGAAAACGGAATCCGCTCCGGTCACTGATGAAAGCCTGTTGAACACACAACTGTACCAAATCTCAGATCAATTCGTTGAGAAGCAGGTGAACTACGACATTTTTTTATAGTGGATCTATAGTTTTGGCCAGCACTGTATATAAGATGCAGTTCCTTTGGGTTCGACAGCGTAGCACTCTGAATTAAGCGAACATTTTATCCCTGCTTAGCTGAGAAAATCGACATCAAGGGTTTTCTGGGAACAATTTTAATAGAGAATTTAGGCTTTGTTATAACACATTAATATCATGTAAGAACAGAATCATCAATGAAATCTTGCCAAATTTAGCATAAATATGGAAAGGAAGCCGGCGGACATGCCGTCAAAATAATCGGATGGGGAGTAGAAAACGAAGTAAAGTACTGGCTTGTTTCAAACTCGTGGAATTCAGACTGGGGAGACAATGGTAAGTTTGACACAACTGAAACCAATTCTTTTTGATATGTAACTTTTATGCAGTGCTCAAACCAACAGATCTACCTCAAAATCAGTGTAGAATCTGGCACAGTTGCATGTGTACCTACTACTGTGCTTCAAAAAGTAACCACAGCGGACATAACATTCGATTAGCAACCAAAAATTAAGGAAAAATCCAAAAAATTGGATGAAGTTGGTCAGATTTCTTAGAGCACTCTATTTTTTCTTACAAGGAAAGGATACTTAGTCGAAAGCACCAATCCAGATGAGACATATATCATCTTAAAGCGCTTGAAACGCTGACTCCAGATCTGCACTTTCTAGCTGCGGAGCGGTTTTGTAAAAGGAGTTATGAAGGGTGTCCCCCTCTGGGGTTTCAGCGGCCTCCAGCGGTTTCCCCGTATCTGTAAGCACTGTAGAGGAGTGTCAGCTGTGGCAACTCTTGATGGTGAGTAACTTGAATGAAGATTACAGTAAAGATTATAATACTCATATTACTTTGGTTTTTTAACACTTCTAACTTCGATTAGTATCAATATCATCAGAAGCTTCATGCTTTAGGGTTTTAAAGCCATTTAGAAGTTCAATTTAGCATACGAAGGGGATTAAAACCTTGGCACTCTCTTTATCAAGCATGTCACTTACCACTAGGTCAGTTGCCACCATTTGGTACTCCTCTACAGTGCTCATAGGTAGGGGGAGACTTGGTGGAGGGCGCCTCAGCCCCAGAGGAAATACCCCTTATAACTCCCTCTACAAAACAGCTCGCAGCTAGAAACTGCAGATTTGGAGTCAGCGTTTCAAGCGCTTTGAGATGATATATATCTCTTCTGGATTGGTGCTTTCGACTTAGTATCCTCTCTTTGTTAGAATCCTTCATTTAGTTAATTTTCAAAGTGTAAAGGAATTACTTGGATGAGGTGGATTACGCTCTGTGAGCACTAATCTAATTTTAAAAATAGTATACTGTAGCGTGTGTTGTTTTTGAAAAAAAGAGTGTTCGAGCGGAAAACCTCAGAATTTCTCAGATGCGAAACCTACGGAATTTCGTTTAGCTGCTTAAGTGTATGAGCACTATGAAAGAATACTGAATTTCTACTGTTGAGCTGACCCGACATTGACCTTAAAGGCAGTGTTCCGGCAGATTTGGCACTTCCGCCTTTCTGCATGTTAGGCCTTTTCTCCAATAGAACCCGAATCTGAGCTTTGAATGGGTGAGAAGGCCGATTTTGGGGCGTTTGCCCAGTTCCAAAAAAGCTCGGACGAGATTTTTTACGGAAAGTTGGGAGGTCCTCACACGAAGACCCTACCGCCTGTAATTTATGCTTTGGATAGCATGCACAATGGGGAAGAGCGGTCGTGAGGTCCCTCGCCGAACAGACAAGGAAGCCGTCCGAGCGCGCGCCGATTGGGGTTGCGCGCGGCAGCTCAAGGGCCATTTTCTCGGCCCAGGGGAAACATCAACCAGCCGGACTGCGCATGGAGGTCAGTGGGGTGACCAAAAACCCCATCACACCTATATCGCCCAGAGCGCGAATCTGCCGGGATACTGCCTTTAACGAGAATTGGAACTTGAACTTCTGCTCTCAAGCTCTTGCTGCGACTTTATAAGCATAAAATAGAGCAAGAGCAATGCTTGCGCAAAAGACATAAGGATAGAATCCAGAGAACATAACATTGGGAAAATATTTTGAGCTGCGTAATGTTATCACTAGGCTGCGAGATTCTTGATCTGAGACAGTGAAGCTTTGCAAATATCCGTAAATGCCAATGATTTAACTTCGCTTCAAGCTTAGACCGACACTGCAGAAAGAGTTCCAATGTTGAATTTCGAATAAGGCATGCTATCAGGCAGATAGTCTCAGCAAAATCAGTAACTATGTGGTCAAACTTTTCGAATCACTGCTCCCGTCATTTGAATCCAGCTAAAAAATGCAGAGCTCTACTTGAACACAAGTTCCAAAAGCAGAATGGTAAGGATTTTTTAACAATAAAAAAATGAAACCTTTTTTTTGAATGCCTAGCACTCGGCTGAGACAATTGTTCCACACTTTTGCTTTGAATGCTAGGTCAATGGTCAGGTTTAGCCGGCCGCCTTCATTTCAGCTCTTGAGACTTCCGACAATTTTCGATGAAAGACAAACCGTTTTGTATTCGGACATTAGACGCTATAACGCATATATTTTACTAAATTCTGGATCGATTCAGTGGTTTCCAGAAAAATTAGGTTTTTCTGAAATTTTTTTTATAAGTTCTTTCTAGTACTATATCATAGGCTACTTCAAAATACTCCGTGGTGAGAACGAATGCGGCATCGAAGGACCTGGCATGGCAGGCAAGATGTGGATCGGCAGGTAGATCAGAAGTTCGCCTGTTCATGTAACCCGAATTTGATGCAAGGGCTTCGAATAGAACTATCGATAAAAGCAGTGACTTTATAATGTTCTTTTCTTTAAAAAACACTGTTGTTCAACCATTAAATATCACACTCGCAACGCGAAGCACAGCTTCTTGAACGCTTTTGCTTTTAATAGGTGAAAATAGTTGCAGTACCGCAAACTTTGATAATTTCAAACTGAGTAAACTTACAATTACTTTCGTTCTGCCGTTATATTCGGATGTCAAAAAACGCATGTGTTTGACATCTTACTGCAGAAAACTTGCTCAGTACTCTTACTTATTCTAGCCATGACTTAGCTACACGATTTAATTTCAGTGGCGAAGTCGTGTTTTATCTGTAATATGAATCTACACTTTACCGTGCCCAAGCTGATGAAATAAGCAAGAGCGAGTAGCGGTACGCTGAAGGTAAACTAAGCTTCTAAGGGCACAAAGCAAATTTGTGAATACTTCTCGAAAATGTTTGAGCGGTACTTTAAAAATGGAATTGAAAAATAAGAATTGAATTTTATTACTATTCTAACGTCGTGTATGCGTGATTGTCCTGTATACCAGAAACCCGTAAAAAGGAGCTGACTAGCAATTATAATTATTGCTCAAGCAAGCCACAAAAGCGGTTTGCTGTGTGACGCTCGCTGGATGAATTGGTTGATTTTGATCTGCAAAATTCATGAATCGCTTATTACAAAGTACCTGCTCGGTTGATGGTACACTATACACCACAATTGCACCGTTCACAGGAACCGAATTTCATAGATACATAACATCTGTCTCAATTTCGGATCAAGCCAAAATCGGCGTGATGCGCATCCGCAATCTTCTTAGCTCTGCGGAACGTCGTCGATGGTCTGCTAGCGTCGCGCTAGGACCCCTCCCTTAATTATGGCACATTCTTCATTTCAAAAGCGGTTCAGGGAGGGTCCCTTAGACGATCAAATTACAAGTGCAAAGTTCCTCCAAAAATCCAAATGATTGTTGATTCATCAATTAGCTAAAATGTTCTGCACTTGACCAACAGGAGGCAGAGACAGTTTGGTAGTTGTATTATCATAGGTCTAATTTGATAGGCATTTCTCCCAACCCGATTAAATCTATTGATCCTAGGCTGTGCTTCAGGGGATTTATGCCGAAGAATGCAAATTGAAGCTGCATCATCAAATCATAGACGAAGGAATAATCAACACTTGTCCTCATACTGCTTATAGAGTGTACAGGAAAGTTTCTTGAATGTGCCTTCACCTAGATTTTGTAAGAATTGATAAGATTTGTTGGGATGATTTTCGAAAAAGTGTCACCTCACAAATCCTGGCAATCTATGGCAAAGATTGACTTAGTTAAGGTTACAGGTTAGGGTTTTGATAGAAAAGGATTTTTGACCAGCTTACAGTATGCCTTTGGTCATCGTTACATCCGCACATTACTATAATAGCTCCTCATAGGATATCATGCTCAATTTCAGCAGCTAATAACCGCATATCTACTCTACTACTCCTTTGTAAGCGTATTTTTTGACACAGTGACGGCCAAAAGTTGCGGACAAACCGTCCTCTTTGTTTCATCACTCATTTTCAAATGGAAAACATAGTGAAAAAATGGTCTGATTGCTTGAGATGTTAAAGCTCTTTAAAGGCCACATTTCGCATATTACATTTCATGGAAAAGATTTCAAAAAATCTTTTATCAAAAGTCGAATGGAAGCGTCACAATATCGCGGACAATAAATCTTCGAACGCAAAAATTTCTCTTTGTTGTTTTTGAAGCGAAAACACAACAATTCGAACAGGTAAGCACATCATCACAAAGAGCTCATCAAGGACTGTGATCTTTTTTTGGCTACTTCCTAAAAATGCACGAGCTAAAATTCAATTCCGTTGTGCAAGTTTTAAAAATTGACTTTCAATTCCCTCCTCCAAACTAAATTATTTCGCATAAAAACGATGCAAAACATCCTAACGTTCTGTGGCTAGCGATTTTCTATGCTGGAAATGGCTTCTGGAAGTGCATGCACATGACCTTACCTGCATCTTACCAATGACTTGTGTTGCGGCTCGGTGTGCTCAGCACTCCTCGCCCTAGTGCTCGTCCGCCTGACAACACAACTCCTTAACTCCAGGATGTTCCACCTCTGCGCTGGTGTGCGCATCACCAGCGCGTCCGCTCGACGCCTACACCCCTACCCGTACAAACAAACAATCACAGACACGACTAGATTAAATCACATTTACTGAAACATAAGAACAAAACATAAAAAAAACCTAAAACTACTAAAAAAGACTACTACTACTACTACGAGAAAGAAATAAGCACGGGACGAGCCGCCTCGTCCCGTGCTGCCGATGCTCCGATAAGATCATCTCCAACATGTAGTTCCGGGTCCTCCATTGGGTCAACCGCAAGCCCCTGGCCCATACGGGACGGCGTGACCCCTCTCCACTCCCGCAATCCTTTGCTTCTGCGCGATAAACCATGATACTAAGCTGCGCGTCTCCAAACACAAGAAGATTGACAAGGGCTCAACCGCTCGAAACCGTTGATCATCTGCGGGAGCTACTGGAGGCGCTGCCAGCATGGTAATATCATCAAACGATCGATAACGAACGAAACTCGAGGAGGCGTAGACCGCGGCCTGCGCGCCCTTATATACCCTGCGACTTGGCAACGCGCCCAGTAAGGGAGAGGTCTTGGCGCGAAATTGATAGCGCGCCAAGTAACGCGATAGCCAGCGCTCCCGGCCTTCTGTTTCGAGGAGTGGCTTGCATCGCGCGAGCCGCGACACTCCCCCCCGAAACAGCGGACTTGGACGTTCGGATGGTGGTTACGTGATAGCGCTGGAGTCCACAACGGAGGGCACCTAACTGAGTGTAGAAAAAAAAGAACATTGCCATCGGCAGCACAGTAGAGCGCGCGACGAAGAAGTTAGATGAGTAAAACTCGGCCCGTGCTAAAATAAAAAAGTAATAAACGTAGCAAAAAATAAACTTAGGCCAACACGGGATTAATATAAGTAAATACAATTAAATAGATAAAAGTTCTACTACTGAACAGCTAAATGGACTAACTACTATTTAAAGATAACTACATGCAATAGCTAAATATGAAAAAGTTTTATCGGCGGCTAGAGGCGCAACCAGTGGACCACCATACTGCGTTCAATCAAATCAAGTGACCATAGCTGGATCAGACGCGTACCATAACTGCAATGACACTCGACCGCGCGTCCACACGCCAACCACTGCATACTGCTCGATCTTGCTGAAACAATCGCAGTTTAGGTCAAATAAATCTCAACAAATCATGCTCTCACTCCTCTCTAACCACTGCTACGCACTAGCTCGCCCTAATTTTACTTACGCGCGCCGCGGTGAGGCAACGGTGTTCTAGCGCGCTTCACAACACCCAGATGGAATTGGGTTACGGGTAACTAGAAGAGCCAGAAGTAAAACGACAACACACTAGCTTTGTATGTTTCGCTCGCGCAAAAAACGGCGTTGTCACTTGCTGCTGTGCGGCAAGACTTACGCGACCAGCAAATTCAAAAAATGGACTTCAGTCCAGCCTCCCGCGCGACAGCGGGGTGATGTAACTGGGCAGTGGACTAAGTTGCTGGTCTCCTCGTTGGTTCATAATGAGCGAAGATACATCGACCATATTAGGAATGGCTGTGCATGGATCGTTATTCTTCTGTAATGTCTTCTGGCTAAACGGCTCGACCTGAACAAAAAAGTATGCATGCACTTGGATCAAAACGCGCGGCTGTTTTGCGCTGCTTAAACGTAGGATAGTAATAGTAAATAAAAGTCGTTTGCGCGCGGTGTGAAATGCGCTATAGATAAGTGTATATAGGGTATAAAGGGCTCAATGCAAGAAAGAAGAAACTGAGAAAAAAAATAGAATTTAGAAACAATTTTAGCGGGGTAAATGTGCACAAGGTTCGAATGGGACGCAAATAATGGAGTGCACTTCCAGGGTGTCCCCAATTATAAGGAAAAAAAGGTAGAACAAAATTGATTTTGTTCTTCTTACTTGAATTGTTCCCTCAGTGACGTCATTGTACACGATAGTCGAAGTAGTTGACATTTTATTAGTAGTAGCCGGCCTAGACAAACGGATGTCATTACAAAAAACAGCTTACAATGGAGAGTTAAACACGACGTGAAGCTGATTCACATAAGCGCGAAAAAAAATATCAGTTTCAATAACGTAAAACTAGTAGGAAAACAAAGCACAAAAAATGTGATATGACGAATGCAGTCCACTGCAGATGTTTTGCAGTTCTGTCCGCCCACGCCGGGTCACGACCGCGCCCTACCGCAAGGCTGTATGTTGCGTCGGGGCCAATTGCGTCTGAAAGTAAGGTTAGACGGAAAAGGACCGTTCAATCGCGCGTTCTGCGCTCAGTCACACCCAAATTAAAGTAAAATTGAGGGAATAGAAAGAAGAAAAGTTAATTTGAAAAATTCACTTACCTGAATAAGCTGCACTGTCGCAATCATGTTTTAGACACTCCACGATGACACTGTTTTCGCTTTTGCGCGATGATGACAATCATGTTCCGAGTCTTCCTCATCTTCCGCTACTACTTCCAAAGGCGATAAATGATTTATTGCACATTCGACTATCCTTCTGTTGCTCGTTCTGAGTCTGGCTGATCTTACTTTGCCATCTGGTGAGGTGTGCACTTCCAGAATAAGGCCCAACGACCAGTTCGATCTGGTCGCATCTTGTTCGATGAGCACGACTTCGCCAACTCGTGATGATCTTAAGGAAGAGCGCGATTTCGCGCAAGCATCTTCTCTTTCCGTGAGTAAGTCAAGTGCGCGCGGGTAGGAGGCACGACTTTGATATTTCTTACAAGTTACACACCTGGAAATAAACGATTTCGCTAAACGTCTTAGCCTAGGTATGAAGAACCTCTCACGTAAGGCAGTAATCAAATAGGACGGTTCTGCATGAAGGAGTTGATAGTGATAATGCGCGATTACCTTATCGCAGAGAGGATGAGACGGTAGTATAAGGATAGGATTTCTAGTCGTATTGCTCATCTGCGCGTTAGCCATACGCAAATCAACCCTTACGGTGCCGTCAATCTCGCGTGTCGTGTGGAGCTTCTTCACGTACGAACTGTCCATTTGGCACTGACTTTCCCGGTAGTGCTCGCGTATGAGCACAAGTTCAGCTGCCGTGTAGTCATCCGAT